AATAAAATCTTCGGTATGTCAGGAAGACATTTTATGTCTAATTGAACATGAAAAGACACCTGTCAAATATTTTTTGTAAACAATGCAATTATCGTTGAGTGATAATAGCACACTGTGCAATTGCCGCTGTAATTTTTCGATAATTGCACACTTCAAACGGACAGATTATCATACGAAGGAAATATTCTGACTTAATTCTTTAAATGTTATTCAAAGATCAAAAAAATGTAAATTTTAAGCTGCAAGAGTTTTGGCCGCGTGTGGTTCATAACTCCATACTTTTATTAGTTTATTTGAGCCGGTTATTATTAGTGTTCGGTTGTTGTCTAGTTTTGGAGTTTATCAGCATATGAAAAGTACAGTTGTTTCGTGTAAATAAGTAAAAAATCTCAAGCTTTAGCATGTGTGCCCTGTACAAGTAAAGCCGTGTTATTCCCGAAAGTTAATGAATGTAGGTCAAGATTTATGATATCCAGTATTGTACATTTTAATTATATCTTATTATATCCACAAAAAAATAGAACGATGTTTGAATTTTTTTTCGTTTGGTCATAATGGCGCTTGGAATGTTTTTAAATCGATTGGCCACAAACACGATCCCACAAAGAAACTTTGAATCGGTGTCGGTGGTCCAATTTCAAGATAACGCGTCCCAATGTCAATATCTTTGTGGAGTCAGACAGAGACGCTTTTAAAATGGCTTTTTATGGCTGCAAGAATGGCACTTACCGATCATCCTAAGTGATTTTTAATCGGCCCGTGTTTTAAGATTTTACCTGTGTTTTTACTCGTACTTTAGATAACTCCAGTTCAAAACTTTTTAAATGCCTATGTGTTTAATGACTGCATTAAGTTGTTCGTTTGTTTTATGTTCATAACTGGCATTAATGTCGATATCGATATCATCAATATAAGTATATGGTTAAGCGTGTATTGTAATAAAAAAAGTTGTTTAAACTAGGTGGGTGTGCAGAATTATCCAGACAATTTAAGGAAAGATTAAATAACATGTAATGTTGGATGGGAGTGCATAATCGTGGCACAGGATCCCACATTGAAGCAGCATATAAGATAGTTGCTGATGAAACGAAATCTTCAGATATTTCAGAATAATGTTGCAAAAGTGTGTTAGATGTGCGTTTTTAGCACCTGCCGCAAATGAGTTGACTTCTCTTAGATCTCCTGCAGTTTCAATATGCCTCGAAGACACCATGAGAAATTAGTTAGGAATTTCGATGTGAAGTGTGTGTTTATCCGTGTGGTTGTCTGTTCCCGCATTACGCCCGGATGCATCGTGATAAATGCCTCGGATTTATCAAGCTGGAGGCATTTTCCGAGATGACAGCCGCCGTTTGCGGGTTAAGCCCGTCTGCACCGAAGGGATTAAAATCGGACAAGCGCCTAAGTAATTGCCCCTGTATGAGTTATTTTGAGAAATGTGTATCGATAGACCGGATTAGCAGCACCACTTTAACTATGCGCCATTGCAGCGTTGCAGGTTTTGTTTCTAAGCACTGGTAATCCCGTAAAGTGAAATTAACCGAACTTCAATCGAACTGCAAGATTAATGCCTTTCTCGACCGAATCATTTATTTAATTTAACTGTAGGGGTTATTTGATCAACTGTTTGAGGAGACTCTTATATGTCAGAGTTACTTCGTTCTGTTGATTGAAATTCCAAACATGTTCGTAGAGGACGTACATCTTTTAAGACCTTGGTAACAGTTTGTTTTGGTGCTGTGGAATATCTAAAATAAATATTTTCAATTTGTGTATGTTTTTTCAGAATGCGCTTTCAGTGTCGCATGTTTAATTACCTGAAATTCCAAGATTAGACAGTATACGGGAGTGCAAGCGATTTGAAGTTTTTTCAATATGTCCACCCTGCCGGTTATAACCAAAATAGGTGTAAATTTTCGTATTTTAAATGGACCACCCTGTATATTATTTCACCTTTAAATTATACTCCAAATTCCAAATATATTTGGTACATAGCATGCTGTGCCTAAGTCAGTTATGTGACTTTGACTTAATCTCATTGTTTAAATTAATAAAGGTTAAACATTGAACGCACACAACTAAACATTAACACCATTATTGAACTTTTAACAATATGTGTAAAGTCAACTTACTTTCAATACAATCACAATTTTTATCAACAAAATTTT